TTGAAAACAAATTTGAGGAATATCTCCTTACTTTAGTTGAGATGATTAAACAAAGATTTACAACGGTCTCAAAGACCTAAAGATTTAAAATTTTTGTGATGAGGGAAAATTAAATTTTGTAAAAAAATTTACAACGAAATTACACCGACAAACAGGTAGACAAACAAACACGTCGCGATTACTCGATATTGTCTACCATGTAGACTTAGTTGTTGTTTAGAAGTTGAAAAATCCTGATTGTGGAGTCTTTGAACTTTTTACCGCGGTAACCACAAAATTGATTATAGAATAGCGAATCCTAGCTTCATATCCTTCCAGAAATGAACTGGCGACACAAAATACTAGGTAGTTGGTATTCTAATACTCATCCTCGGTGGTGATGACTAACCGGCTAAAAAACAAACGCTAATTTTTTTTGTTACCGACAAGATGGAAAAAAATTCAAGGGACGAAACATCGACATTTACACATTTGACGTTGCCAGATTATTAACCTTAATAAATATTTGATTTGATTAATTCATCGTTAATTTATTATAAACGCCTTGCCTCCGACGATGGGTATTACAAATTACCGCCCTTTCAGTATTTTATGCCGCCTATTTCAAGTAGAGGAATAAAAAGTTAGGATTCCTTTCAAATTTTCTTTTATGAGCATTTTGCTGGTTACTGCGGTGAGTAGATCAAGAGGCTTTTTTCAATGCCGAATTAGCATATTTTTTGTCATTCTTTTTAGGGATACCTATTTTAATACATTCACTTGCAAAATAAAAAGTTTTTAAAGCTGTTGTACTTTAATTTTCAGTTACATAAACCTTTTTCTCAATAGGGTCAGTAGGTCGGTAGATATTCCATGAATATCACACTCAACCTATCGCGCAGAAGAATGCATACAGATACGTACTCTAAGATACCGAGTGCGTCATAACCTTATTTGGTAAAGCTCTTTAGCCATGCGGTTAGAGCAAATAATATTTTTTTCCAAGGCGGTAAAGCGGTGTACGTGTTGTTGAAGCGTAATGATACCGAATTGTTTTTTATTTTTTTCTCCAAAGACACAAATTTCCCTCACTGGTGACGTATTTTGTTGATCATGACAAATAGAAGGATCCAATCCCACCAACATTCATTTCATATAAAATGATATATCTTTTGGAGGGGTACAGTTATGCTCGTATGAGCTGAGTACATGGGAGTATGTTAGAACAGAACATTTGTAATGTTCGGCTTTAAACAAGGTTGTAAATACGTTAAGTGAATCAGCCTTGTGACCGTGTACATCATAAGACAAGCAGTTAGAATTAAAAGCAGCATAAGCCCTTTTTAGGCTTACACTTATAGGGACTAATCAACCGAGTAATTAGAAAGAATTGATTCTGTTTTTCAGACACACAAATTATTTTAATACACGAGGCGCTCGCCTGTGACCGAGTTTAATCCTGTGCAAATTTCTTTTTTTTTTTTTTTTTTTAATTTTAAAGCATATTTGATAAAAGCCTCGACGCTCAAGTCCATCTTATAGAGACATGAGCCTCGAAGCGTACTTGAACGTGGCATGAACGGACCCAGCCGGTTAGACTTAGCATTCGAAAGCATCGAACTGAAAAGACACATGCAAAGAACCTTTTACCGAGTTACATTTTGGATTACATCGGATCACTAGATTTCATTGATATGTCTCAATAAAATGACATGCATATAACTGCTTTAGACTGACGTTGAAGTAGATAGGGATTGTCCCTCTCAATCATGCTCAAAATAAATCCTCGATGTTCACTTAGAAAATCGACGTTGTTTGAGATACCGTCTAGAGCGATTGGAAAATAGGAGTATAATTTAAAATGGAAGTAGTTGCAGTCTCTTCCTTCATGTTATCCTTGTGTGTAATACTTGCGCACTTATTATCAAATGGGTTAAAAATGTATCGTTTCTAAGAGTCTTCGTACGTGCGTTCCACACAGACGAACGTTGCCATGACTTAGTTACTTTTCTTGCGCTGGGGATGTTGATTTTAACTAAAATGACTTTGCAGAAAATAATCTTTGCTCAAAGTTTATTTTGTTGACAGTGGCGTTTCTTGTCCCGTATCTGTAATTTTGCTCAACTATCATAGTAACAGGAGAAAAACGAAAATACCCATGAGCTTAAAATTTTGTTGGATAAAAATCGTTTTATCGTTTTTTGCAGCAATTGTTCTATGCCTAAATGATAACCCAGGATGAAGGAAGCCCAAAATAGATGGGCTTCATCACTGGAAAACATTCAGTCAGCAAATCATCAACGATACAAACCTAACAGTTGGACTCTTATGGGATGAACTTGGCAATGATAGCTCTTCGTTTTATTAGCATTTACCTTCCACCATCAGATTATTGTCAGTCATAGTTGTGAGTGTCCGTTCAGCCAAAATTGTGAATTGCTTTGATTAATAGCTTTAATTTTATTACCGGCTTCTACTGATTGTTGTAGTTAATTATATAATTTTCAGCGTCTCCAACCATAATTCTTGAGCCGATGTTAGAAAAACGAGGAAACTTCGAGATGATCGCAGGACTCTCTAGGTTTAAACCAAAGTAATCATATCTTGAAGTCAGTGGCTCAGCGCATGTCGTATATTGGCTGAAATGACCAAATCTTAAGAGGCACTCATTTGGTTCTCAAGACAACCAGGAAAAATATGCAAAGGAAATAGACTGTGTGCTTGAAAAATAAGGCAATATCAAGCAATGAGTAAGAAAAGTTAGTAATGAACATCTGAAAGCCACTAAACTTTCTACTGTGAAGCAAAAGAAAACAGGGTTTAGAAAACGGAATTAAAACAACGTAAGGTATCGGGTGTTTTTAGAAGTCATTTACATGTTGCGATGAAGAACTGAAGGAAATAGTAGTTTCATTTCTTCTAAGCACTGTTTCTAATCCAGTTGAGCTTCAAAGAACTAATGTGTATCGCAGTGCCTTGCATGACTATGAAAATCGCGATCGATAGCGCACAGTTTTTACTAAGTAAAGGACTGAAAATTTATCTTGTTGGATCGATAATTTGTTCGGATTGTCATAAGCTCCCCCTTGATAATCCGGCGTCTCTTAATTTATCGGAAATTTGGATTGGATTGTAACGAGAACACCTTTCCTGCAATATTCAAATGATGTCTAAAATCCGTGATACACTTCAAATTCATCACGATATCCCATAGAAAAAACTCCAATAAAACGATCTCTAATATCGATTTGCGGTCTGCGGCGTCTTAATGCCAAACTTGTTCCAAGGTCGTTGGTTTTTGTACGTGTTAGTTGACGCGATTTTTCAGGCAGTTCGATCTGTTATTTAAATTACTCACACTCATTTTCAACATTCTCATGACTCGACTCGAGAACATCAATATATCTGCTGCGTTCTAAAGCAGACGTTTAAACAATATACCCCTACCCGGGTTTTACTTAATTATGACAACTATGAAACCAACCTAAAAAATAAGGGAAGGCTCCATGAATCCGTTTCGCGGGTAAGAAATGATTAACATGATTTGGGTGCGGTTGTTGAGGTTCCTATCTCTCATAATGAACTTATGTATGACGTTTACGGCAATGACAACCGCAAAAAATGATTGCTATCATTTCCTACAATTAACTAATTAGCCTCGTGGAAAAACAAAAACTCTCTTCCACGTCTAACGCAAAGTGCACAATGGTGGAAAGCAGACAGCAAGAATTTTAAAATTTACCTTAACCGTTTGCATGAAAGCCACGGTCAACCTCTCAACTGCTGGGCCTTAACGAAGTTTTTTTTATCGTTCGACGTAAATTACCATATTTAATTCGCAGACGTTTCTCTTTCGGTGCTCGCATGGAAGGTTCCTTTTGATTTTATTTCCCGAAAACAGAGATTGATATTATTTATGCAGGCCTTGCAAACAGCTTGACACAAACTCATCTCATATATCATAAAGTAATTTTATTTTAGGCATAAATTCTAAACTTAAACTACTTCAGTTTTGTTTTATTTATTTCATGTTTTCTTGCCCTGGATACATAGAGCCGAAAACATCAACATGGCGCATGCTCGTTGCTTTTACCATACACCAGATTACCGGCAATCCAGAGATGCCGGTGACAATGAGCACACCTTTCCGTCCTACTTAGCTAATATCTTAAGTACCATTCTTTTATTTTTTTATTTTATTTTATTTTTTTGGTGACGAATGAAGAGTAGCCTGCATGACAAACATGACGTCGAAAAGGTTTTATTTTAGAGAAAGATGTTTTTCGTCTTGTCACGAGCGTGGGACAAAGAAAACATTCTGAGTTCCCATGAGGAATCGAATCTCCTTTGTCGGAAAATGATCTACGGCTCGAGTTTCGTAAGAGTAATTACAGGCTCCCGCATTAACCTGATTTTTTTTTTCAGTTGTTTATTTTTCCTCTCTTTTTGTTTTACTTTCATAAGGACGGAATTAAGTACAACTACCAAAATGCTAAAATGCATCGCGCGGCATAAGTGGAATTTTAAGAGCATTTACATAAGGACCAATTTAGCGGAAGAGATAAGATCAGACTGATTTAAGTAACATAAGCAACGCCACCAAAATGGCTATTTCAGAACTATTGGCTTTATATTGTAGTCTGTAATCACTTGTTTCTATGGTTACTTATTCCGTGAGTTTCAGTGGCATAAAAAGGTCAACAAAGCAGATACTTAATGGGGGTATTAAAAGAATTATTTAACTTTCTCAAATTTCCGATCACAACTATCGGTTAGGCGTAATTTTCAATACGAAATTTCCAACCTACGTGATACTCTTCCCGCCAATAAGAGCCTAAGTGTTTTTACGAAAAAAGGAAGGCTTCCTTAAACAATATCGACACTTGTTGAATGATTTTAGAAATTTTCCATGACATTGCCTCGACACCTTGATAAACATAACAATATCTTGAGTGTCAAAACGATACGTGTGCATGTATATTTCACATTCTCTCGAGAACCCTATAAATACTAAAACAGAGTAGCGACGAAACCATAATCGACAAGACGACGGGAGAGTTGAGACAAAAACGACGCAGAGACTTGAACTGCAGAAGAAAAATGAACTCCAAACTGTTGTATCTTCTTTGTCTTGTGGCTCTCTTGAGACCGCTTGGGGGTTTTCCTTTATCAGTGACTGCTGGTAAGATGAGACAATTTATCTGTTTAATGAAATGGTTTCTATCCTTTCAGTTAGAAACCATTATTTACAGTTGATAACCTCAGTTGTTTCCTTTATAACTGAAACATTATTTTATTCTAGTTCAGTAAGGAAGAATCCTAACGCATTGTGTAGAGAATCATTCAACTACTCAGCCCCCGTCCGGCTAAACGTACCGCGTGATCGTTAAAAAGATCGCGTGCTGAATTAGAGCGGTTAATTCATCTTTAGTTTGTTTTGTCAGATTTCTGATCTAAAGCAATATCCCCTTTTTTGTGGTTTCACATAGGGTTGCTTCTCTCTATTGGATACTTCGTGAAAAGTTTAAACTTTGATTGCTTTGTAACGTAAATACGTTTTACGTTCTTAGTTATTAACCATAGCAAATCCCTACTTTCCAGATGATGGAAGCGCTTCTGGAGAAAGTGGAGATGATGAAAGCGGTAAGATTTCAAAATATGTGCCCTACTTCATCGGAGTAGTTTTTTTTAAATTTGATATTTCACTGAACAAACTCTTAGATTAGTATTACGCTAATATCTCGACTGATAGTCTTCGTTCTCTTTCATTTTTTTTCTCCCCTCTTTCTTTGTTGGACCCAATACATACAGCACATACTCAATACAGATGATTACACCATCAGGCTTGAACCAATAAAATGAGTTGTGTCAATACTCCTTCTGCTTGGCGTTTTCAAGGAATTGACCACGTGCTATTTTTCTCAATATTCAGGCGAAGAGTCTGGAGTTGACAGCGGCGAAGAAATTGACGACGAGAGTGAGTCTGGAGATGATAGTGGTGAGGAGTCTGGAGAGGACAGCGGTGAAGAAGTTGAGGATGACGATGGCGAGGAGTCTGGAGAGGACAGCGGTGAAGAAGTTGAGGATGACGATGGCGAGGAGTCTGGAGATGACAGTGGTGAAGAAAGTGAAGACGAAAGTGGTGATGAAGATGGCGATGAAAGTGGTGAGGATGGTGGAGATGACGGCGATGACGATGATGATGATGAGGATGACGATGATGATGACGATGAGGATGACGATGACGATGACGACGATGATGATAATAATGTACAAAGCTTCAATGATAATGGCTTGCAACATGTGGTCGAAGAGATTGGAAAGGGCAATAGCACTTACGGCAAAGAGAGTAATGGTCTAGACCAGTTGGTTACTTCAAACGGATTTGCTATCAACGGAGGCCTTGCTCATATTCTCATTGCATTGACATGTTTGCTTTTCAACTTCCCTTACTAATTTTTCAATAAATGCTTCATATTGAAGATATCGTTCGCGGTGCGAATGTTTTGTGTTCATATTTAAGAGTAAGTGACAATTGACAAAGTTCCTTCAATTTTGTCGGCTTGTAAATATCTCAAGGAACTGCCTCGGTTCAAGATTACAAATAAAGGCAAATTCTGGCCACATAGTTTGACGGCATATTCCTTTTTATGGAATATGAACTTTTCTATAATATGATTGAAAGGCCATTATTTTATTTATTGAACAGTAAGAACTTTGGAACAAAGCGCAAGACAAGAGAACACTTACCTATTTACACTGTTATGACATGGCTCCTCTGCCTTGAACAGTCATCTTAATGTTAATGAACTCAGCCGACATGTGATGAAAACAAATAATGTGATGAATAATTCCAAAGAAAATAAATAAATATAAATGTGCAATCTTTGACTAGTGTTCTCGCTTAATTTCAGGAAACACTATCCATGGGAAAGGTTTACATCTTTACAGAAAATAAAACAAGTCCAAGTCCAGTTATTCGGATGATGGTTTTAGAGCATTATCCCTGCGCGGAGATATATGGCTAAAAAAGGAGGCTTCCTTCCCCTTCTCCCCCCCCCCACCCCCCCATCAAACATTCTGTCAATTTCTACAGAAACCTTAAATCCTTTTGCCGCCACCGAACTTTCTTTCCCCGAGAATAATTAATGTTTAGGTGCAGCGTTGTACATACAGTCACCCGCTTCAAGCACAGTCAGGATTAAAAGCTAACAAGTGAAAAATAAACAAAACGAAAGAAATTGAGATGAAAGTCCTGGTTATGGCAATCGTTTATGATCATGCTTTCAAGTACGCATGGTTCCTCAGAGGTTTGTATTAGCTTTCGTAAAGATTCGTCTTTTAAAAACGAATTGAAAATGCATATTAAATAAAAAAGTAAGGTCGAAAGAAGGAGGAAAGGAAAATAGCAGACAAAATAAGACAATTTAATTAAAAGCAAAACAGACAGTCAAGGATACGAAAATGAACAAAGCTATGTTGCGTAAGCTTTTAAATTTCATATTTTCTGCCAAGTTATATAGCAGTAGCCAAGGACAACATATGCAAAGAAATAAGCTTATGCTCTACGCTTCTATATTTCCTTTTTCGTGTTGAGTGGAACTCCCTGTATTTCAGAAAATAGGCGATCTAAAGTAAGAGAAAGTCTTTACAGACTTCGAATTCAAGAGGGGTAATACAAAGCTCTTCATGATTCCAAGACAACAAGTAATCTCTGATCCCACTTTATCTTGGTCCGCAAATCATCATGGTAGAAGACCTGAAATTATCCCATTAAAAAACTTGCAATGATCTCAAGGTTTTACAAACAGAAATCTACAAAACAATTTTCAAATCATTCTAGTCAATTTGTATTAAGAGCCTGTCCACGACAGGACCGGGCAGGCGTGACACATGCTATCACACCGATTTCTTTCAAACTTTCACAGTTTATGAGGATCGATAAGTTATTCAAGAATCCAAAGTAATTCGGGCTCCCAGCTTATCCCTGGGGTATTAAAGCTTCCACACCAAATCCCTGGGGTAAAATGCTTAATAAGCTCGAAACATGCATTTCCAACGGATCTCTCTCACACTAACAGATTGCGATGGATTTTAATCTTATCATGCCAAATGTAATTTACGCAAATGCAACACAATACATACCTATAATAATTTTACTCAATTTGTGAGAAGCTTTGGAGAGGACTCCATCGAATGTTAGGAGCATTACAATAAAGTTGTCCTGTTACATTTAACCGTGTAGAGTAGAGTCGAGTAGTCTATATTAGCTTTCCTCTTAGGAGGCTATTCTAAGTTAATTACAACACTTTGCGGGGAGTTGGGCTGGACTGCGCTGAGGAGTTTGCAATTTTTGGAACGAAATGTTGCAATTGTCCCCGATTTGGGAATTAAGGTCAGACCACAACAGCGCGAGCTACGTTCCCTTCTCTTTAAAAAAAAGGGCGTGGAATGTTTAACGTCCCTTGCTGACCAGTTATGACAACTTGGGCCTGAGATGCTGCCACATGAAACCTTCAAACACCCTTAGATGGCTGGCTTAGTGGCTGGAGTACTCTTATTATATGACCGTACGCGCAATCCCATAGAAAATCTTAATCCCATAGTAAAAGCTGTGACATGAACAGGTCCGGAAAAAGCCGTCCCAGCCCTACACCTACACAGCTTTGCTGAAAAAACTTGGATGTAGCGTCTTGTCTCGGAAAAGAAAGACATGTATCTCATGGGCAACACCCCCTCTAAGCTTATTGCCACTGTAGAGGTAGAGCTCCAAATCATCGACAACCTAAACGACTACTTATTCAAAATCCTTTGAAACTAAATTGAATGATTTTTTCGTTTTATTGTGTACATTTCTGAAATATTTTCACTTTTAAAGTCCACTCAAATAGCCTGGAAAAGTGAAGACTACTTGTCGACGTATTCTAGCTAACCCCTTTCATTCAATGGTTTATTTTATTACATGTCCTTTTAACCCTTGTTATGTACACTGATCATCCTGAATCTATCGACGTATTTCAAACTTTTCTCTGTAGCGTTTTTAGAATTACCATCTCGGACATAGAACTCTACCTCAACTTCACCATCCGCGTGCTTTTTGACCGCGACAGAAAAGTGCCATGACTTGCCCTTTATGCCAAACCATTTTCTCTGTTTCCCAGTGAACAACTAAAGGGAATTTCATGGCCCAGTTCATAATTATGAGCACTTGGTTGTTGACTAGGTCCTCAATAACATTGCAGCGTCTTAAAGGACAGGGATGTGCGCTATCCACTCGTTAACATCAGGGATTACGTTATATACGTCATGCTGTAGGTCTTCCAGCTGGTATTTACTTTAACCATCAATTAAAGGAACTCCGCCTATCCAAAAAAAAAAATGCTTACCATTAGATGAAAAAAAACATATCTTATATCTTTTTGCGTCCTTTTGACAATGCCAAGCCTTCATAAGCTTACTCGAATCAGAATCTTACAGTATGACTTCAGCGATCCCTAAAGATGTTTGCGATCGCCGTCAAGCCACACTTTAAAGTCACATGAGGCGATTCATAAAAGAGGAGAACGACTAAACAACGTCGGTGACACGAAGGCTGAGATTGAATAATATGGGAGGGGCGAGGGATGAAAGGGTGCTACGCCACCGACGCAGAAATTCAAGACTTTTTCCGATATAAGAAGAAGCACAGCATGGCTGACATTCAACGAGTACGGTCACTTTTACAAGAGGATTTCTTACAAGGATAAGAAAGCGGCAACAAGGCAGATCCTTCTGATGTTGTTCCTAAAACGAAGCGTCTTTAAGATAGACAAATGGAGACAAATTGTTCATCAACGAGGAATGACTTAAGGCCCATCTCCTGAGTGGAATTGTAAGTGCCTCCTTGAGAATGAATGTACGATCAATGCGTCAACAATACAGAAGCGACGAGGACGAGATTTCAGGTAAGGAAGAGAACTAGAAACTTGTTACCGGTACAAAAAGAATTGTAAATGTGATTGTCAGATAATCTTCTTTTTATAATAAATAACCTATGGAGTTATTGGCCTCAGAGTGAGAAAAGAAGACATTTGTGCTGTTAAAAGGGACTGATAATGAAAAATTGACCAATGAAGACCCTTTATTTTTAAAAACAATACTTTCAGAAACCTCTCCCTGCCTTATTCTACAGAATATTATTAAGAAATAAAGAAATATTCTCACTTTAGGTACATTACTCCTTTAATGACACCTGAAATTGGATGGAGTCTTATTCCCACAGAAAAACAATTATGGCGCATTGAGTAAAATTATAATACGTATATAAAGTGTTTCATTTGTGTAAATTACATTTGGCAGACGTCGCTGTCAACTGCCGACTTCCATTACCCAATTTGGTAATGTTTAATGTATGTTGTGAATATACATTTATGAATCATTTTTTCCAATAGATTGTGTCAGCGTCACAGAATTTCTATGATAAGTGAATCCTTAGCTCGGCAGCTATACATCTGTTGTTTTTTGACATTAGCATCGCAAAAACTAGCGTCGGCAATCCAATTTCAGATTGAAATTGAGTGAGTAAACATCAGTTTATGACCGAAAATTGCAAACTAACGTCAGAGGTCACGTATCTCAGAGGGACGTGATCAGGAATCTTTTTTACAAAGGCCAAATTTTTTCGTCCACCAACGTAGTGTTAAGATAGGTCTTTTCTGTGGTGGTATCTTTGTCGACATACAATGTTGCCCCTTGGAGATATTTGCAATTAAAAAAACCTAATCTTTTATTTTTTGGAATAGTTGCGTGACACAGTTATTGATTGATTAATTGCTCTAAATTGGCAGAGGTTGTATCAAATTACTCCAACCTTGAGGACTTGTTTTCTTAAGGTTCAAACAACCATTAGACATGATAAGATTAAAATCCATCGCATTGTGTTAGTGTGACAGAGATCCGTTGGAAGTTGCGTATAGCAGAAGAGCGAAAAGAGACAGGAGAGAAACAAGGGTAGATGCTATGACTAAAATACAGGAAAGAGGTTGTTTCTAACATCATTTCTCTTTCAAAGCTTTCAGCAGTTTGATACTTGCGCGGTGTCCACCACAATATCATCGCTTGTCTTTTTATGATGCTTATGTTAACAAAAAGACCATGCTTCATGCTTGATGCTGCACGGAATCACATATTCACCGATCCACCCCATTATCCATGCCATTCCTGATTTTCTTAGGCGCATCATTTCCGTTCACTTTTGAACGGGATCGTGCAGAGGCCCATATAAGTGTACGCTGAATTTTAGCTTGTTCAATGATTTCGGTGGATAACTACTGGTACTTTTTCTCAAAGATTAACAGGCCGATACAAAAAGCTGTAGAACCTCCATCACAGCTAAATCATGGCACAATTCAAGTTGAAAGATCTTGGAAAACAACAGTTAAAAATTTCATCATCTTTGTCAGTAGTTCCCACTGCTCTTCGCCTTGAGCTTGGAGTGATTGTGGCTCACAAACATCCAAAGTCGATACCCCTATTCAACATAAATTGATTAAGCATACGTCACGATGATTGTAAAAAGCGGCTGAAAATATTTCTTTCGGGTTTAAGTTATGATGAGAAAACTGAGAGAGATTAACAGAAATTATAATGGGTAGTTTCAGTCAAAGGCATGAAATGTAAAGCAGAACAAATATGTTAATAAACGAGAATAATTTGCAATATCTGAATTCTATCAATAACTTAACCACGAATTTTTTCGATAATGCCATCATAATTTATCGTTACTTTTTACACAGAGAAGGACAAAATCCAAAAACAAAAGACGGTAGTACTTTTCTCATCATAATGTAAGAATTGTGTAAAATAATAAAAAGGACCATATTTTAAGATTGTTGTTTTTATGTTTTTTAGACTTAGATGCGTGCAGGTATTTACGTGATAAACTAATAGTAATATAACATCCGGTTATACTGTTTTTATGTAAATCCCGCCACTCTAGGTGTGTCTTAAGTTGGAATGATGATTAAATCATATTAGTAACGTCATGAAATAGATATGAGAAAGAAGTTTATATCTACACGACGTGCATTTTCCAAGTGGATTTGATATCTGTTCGGACCGAAAGCTTAGTGGATAGGAGGAGATAGGGCCGAAGTGTTGGATAAATGGCCCCGAGAATATTGCTTTTACTTGGTCTTTTAGTGCTATTACAGCCTTTGTGGGGTTTCCCTCGGCCTGGTAAGGAACACAGGTTATTCAGTGTTGAGGGCATCATGTTTGGCTTTCGTCAATTAGGTTTTTAACTGATGCGACGATCAGTGGAGTGACCTCAAAGAGTCTAAGCATAAAGTTCACTTCAAATAGTATCTCCCTTAATCCGACTTGAATTTTTCTTGGCTTCCTTAGCTTATTGCGTTCTGCTTAATTTATTTTATTTTGTTTCATCTTATTTTTCTTTTAATAAATTTTTAAAAGAGATATCGAATATTGGCCGTTGTTGTAAATTCAAAAGAAATGACATCTGCAGTTTGAAGATCTTCGAGATGAAGCCCAAAAATTTCTCCTTAACTTGTTGGAAACAAAGTGTGATGTTAAATGCCAATTAGATTAAAGACTGGCGTTTGCTTGCCTCATAGATTATTGATATTCCAAGAGACGGCTGAGTTATTTTTGTGACCAAGTGGCTCCTTCTGGAATGAAGATGAACAAAAAAATATCGTTACTGATTTGGAAATCGTTATAAACTTACAATGTCTGTTTTAGGTCTGGTATAGAGGGGTGAAATTTAAAAATAACTAATACACGCTGGAAAACGGTCTTTTGAGACAATTTAGGTTGAAATTTCGCAAATACAGCTCGATGATCAAACTAATCAAGTTAAAGTTATTATGAGCCCACTCCTTGAACTCTGGATGAAAAAGTTGACACTTATTAATGGATAGACTGTTTTATACGAAGTTACAACAAGCACATTTTCTAGTTACTTATTGGTGCAATCGCATGTGAATTCTAAATTTCTCTGAATTGCATTTATCTACTTACTTCTAAGGTTGTGTGGAAAGTTGTTTCATGTATTCCTATTATTTATAATCATTTAATATAACCAGTAGTTATACCCAATATTTCTTTTCAAACTATCAATGAAATGCTTAAGTATTACTGGAGAAATTTAAGGTTCTGAATTAGTATTTTTAAATGCTAATGTTGTTGTATAACAACCTCCGTAGACGATGATGATGGTGATGACGACGACGACGATGACGATGACGGCGACGAAGATGACGACGACGAAGATGACAACGATGACGACGATGATGATGATGAAGACGATAACGACGATGATGACGATGACGACGATGACGACGATGACGACGATGACGACGATGACGACGATGACGACGATGACGACGATGACGACGATGACGACGATGACGACGATGACGACGATGACGATGATGGTGACGAAGACGACGACGATGATGATGATGACGATGATGGGGAAGACAGTGACGTTGACAGTGGCGATGGTAGTGCTAATTTCAGCGATGATGGTGACATCAATCGGGATCCATCTGCTATGAACTTAGACTCGTTATCATCGAGTGCGCTTTCAGCTAGGGAAGGAAATGCTCAAGTTCTGATAGGCATTATTTCATGGTTTTTTATGAGCACCATTTCGTACAAACCTTTATTTTTTTAATTTCACATGAATAGAGCTAAAAAGTGGACCTAGAAATGATTTTACAAAAACCTGAAAGATGAGTACATTTTTATTTGACACTTAGCTTGGTAGCTTCTTAGCGTATGTATTCCTGTTCAGAAAATGGCATTTCATCAACCCCAATGATTCTCACGAGCAGCTAACCGTAAAATGTACTTTAAAGTACTTATGACCTGTCAACAAAACACAAATTAATAAATTCGTTAAAGAATGTTTTAGGGAAGTTTGTTTGTCATCTTTCAAATAAGGTTGGAAGTGTCATCTTTAAGGTTTTCCTTCTCCTTTCCCTTTTTTTCTATCAACGGAGTGCGTTTTAATTAATTTCATGTTCTTAGAACATTTTTTCCTTTAATGAAATTTAAGGAACTTCAGTCTTAAGCAATGGGAAGCAAATATATCTATATTTTTTAGAGAATGCTCTGGAGCTAATAAATACGACTGGAAACGACTGTCCGACAGTCCGATATTGACATTCGTAGGTGAGGGTCGAGACCCTCTACCCTATCCAACATCAGAATGATGTTGTTGAAAAAGAAGAATCTCGTTAATATTAAGTGATGAAAATAGTTCTGGCTAAATCTCTTTCATGGTTTCAGCAAAGGAATACAGAAAGCTAGAAGAAATCCTTTTAACTCCAAAAATTCTATGATAATAACATACTACATCTTTTACTCAAAATTCCACCGAGGAAAAGTGATGGTAAAATCATTCTTTACAGATTATAAAAGAAATTCATAGATGGTATACATGAAAATCAACCCCACATAACGAATTTGTTAGATGTACACTACGAGTAATCAACACCTCGTTGTCTTACAATTGTTGCACTGTTCATAATGTTCAAATCTTTACATGTGTAACACGGGCAGTTAAGTGTCTTCTAATAAGCGAATTATGATGATTTTTTTTCTGCTCGTTTGATACTTACTAGATGACATGCATGTTTTCTGTTTTTAAATTTTCCCAGTGATGTAACATTCCGAATGGCTCTTCGCACGCATAATCTCAAACGAGATTAGACAGAGATCTAAGGCCTATTCTCAAGTATACCGGTAGTTACCTGTCCATGTCCAGAATAGTTGTTTTTCGTTTAACCAATTTACATTTAATACTAGGATGTTATCAGCTTTGAAATTCAATGAACTAGAATACCATGAAACTAATTTAGATTTGCCTTTTTCTTGAGTCAAGGCACTCAGTGCTATTGGATTAAAACCTTTAACACATGGCTTTGGGGCGGTCACGTTTACTGGGACTTTCTAGAAACTGAGGGTGACGCATCGCTTTGAGTTTAACGAAGTACCCTCTTTAATTAAAACTAACACCAAATGGACATCGAGAGCATTAATTTGATCTGTTAAGAGGCAGCAAAACAAGTGATACGAGACCAACGCAATGGTAATCACTTAAATCCTCATCAAGGTCAGGCGAATATAACCACTTATCAAAACTAAATACTTCACTCTAATTGAAGGTGGAAGTCACTAAAAAACCTGACTTAGAAAATTTCAGTCAAATACAAACTTTAATTTTCAATGCTATTGATTACGCGATTGACTAAAACTCCAGCTATTAATGTTGTATCTTTCACCTCCGTTGTCTTATGGAAGGCAGTTGGTTGCACTTTTTGGGATTTGTTTCTGAGGAAACTGATAATATTAATCGTTTCACTGAGTTAAACATGACGAGCAAGTTTCGTAAGCCAAAAAACTCTAATCCTATGAGTTATATTGCCATCTTCAGAAAAGAAGGAGGCCCATATTGACATATATTAAAATTTTTCCTCTGTTAGATCATGGTCGCTTTCTTTTTCGAAAACGCTGTCGTTAATTTTTACACAGCTTAACACAGTTAATATCAAATCTTTTGCTTCGAGACAAAATATTTTCCTGGAAACTGCAAAACAGTCGTAATTAACTTTAAATCCAACTTACGTCAGTAAAAGCTATAAATCATGAAGCAAAGAGTGGGAAAGAACGCACCTAAGCTACACCTTGGAAGTTTGAATAACCAGAATGGCACCTTCAAGTTTGGTTCTTCTTTGTTTTCTAACTCTACTGGCACCCCATTGGGGAAGTTCTTTTCCGATGCCAGAAGGTAAGGAACATTTTGGTTTAACCTGTTTCCTTTTCATTTTAAACTGCTTCTCTGTCCCCACCACGCGAGACACTGGTTGCTGTATATTCCTTTCCCGACTCCTTTCTCATTTTGTTGATGTAGAGGGTTTTTTCTTTAAACTTGCAAGCTTCTTGTCCTGTCTTACTTCATTTAGTATTTTGTAGTATACAAGGTTCGATCTTTGCAGCTTCCCCTCGCCTCATATAGATCAACCATCGCTTTTCAGAAAAATGTTTTTAAATTTTCAGCCTACTTGCCGTTGTACACGTTTTATCGACTAAAAGAACACTTTGTAGTTCATCAGTGACAAGTGATTTATCTAACAACCACCAACCAAATTAACATAGTTGCTTTGTACTGAGAACTGAGGGTATTTTGAAGGAGCCTTGAGCCGAAGGAATTTTTTTTTCAATTTGTGGCTTCCATAAACAAACTTACATTTACCTTTTCCAAAAGCAAAATTTGGAAATGAAGAAGTAACACACTTTTACTAAGTTTTATTCATTTACTGACTTTAAAGCATTTTATGTCTTTTCATCACAGATGACAGCAGAGACCATGATGATGAAAGAGATGATGATGAAAGAGAAAAAGATGACCGTGACCAAGGTTTGAGGGATGATAAGTCTAATGATGAAGACTTGGATAGAAACAATGGCAAAGAGGATGATGACGATGGAGACGACTATGAAATGAAAGGAGGCAATCGTGAGCATGGCTTTGACAAACGGAACGATGACCGAAACGAATACGATAATGAAAGGAATGATGACTACAGTGACCATCGCAGAAATGATAAAGATGATTACGAAAGAGGAAGAGATGATAGAAACGGTGACGACAATAATGATTTAAGAAGGCGAAATGATGAACAAGACGACAGCAGCAGGAGAAACGATGAGGGAGACTTCTCTGACCGAGAGGATGAAGGCCACTGGAACAGGAGAATAGGAGGAAAGAAAGGAAAAAGGGGTAAAAGCGAAGAAGATGAGGGCGAGAGTAGAAGCGACGCTATGAGAGGAAGTCAGCTTCGCTCTGGAGGCATGTCCCTGTCTACTTCCAACCTCATCTTATTTTCTGTGGCATTGATAATTCATCGTGCGCGCAGTTTCCTTTCAATGTAATGGACACAGACTGCTATGGATTGCAAAACGACGAATTTTGTTTAAAGACGTTTTCAAAGTAAAGTAAAGTAAAGTAGCTGACTGGATCACTTATCAAATATGCGTTGCGTTGTTTCTTTAATATCGAAGTTACTTCTAGAAATAAGGGTGCGATTTATGGAAAAAATGCTAGGTGAGATCAATGGTTATAAAATTTATTAATCACTTATGAGGCTATTTCAAGTGTGTGTCGTCACACGCCCAATGAATTCATGTCCAAATAATTGCATGGATTTTCCCGCCTAAGTTCGCCGTCTCGCAGAAAAAGTATTTTTCATCCGTAAAACTAAGCGATTCATGACTTTAAATGAATAAATGGTGATTTGGGTGTTTAAATAACCTGGTTTCCGTGACTACTTACAATATTTATACTCTTGATCCCTTGCTTGAAGTAATTGCCGAGTGAAACACATCGTTGCTGTTTTTGTTGTTTAACAGTTGTGTTGTTGTTGTTTTTTTTTAAGAAACTTTTTTTTTTTATTTTGCGATAGTCAAGACTCACGGGACCTCTATTATACTTTTTTCGGAAACATAGTTCACAAAATTAGCTCCAAAACAAATTAAAACAAAGCACATGAAACGATTTATAATGAGTTTGTCACTAGTTTTAAAATGAGTTCAAAATTTTTGCACCATGTAGTAGACACAACCATATTACATGAAGGGAAAGCTTGCATTTTTGCCTAAGACATCGCATAAGAAACTCAATTCGTTTTTTTCTGGTTTGAAACTTTGATCGTCTTTTCATTAACCTTAAATAGGTGAATGAGACAAATGTCAGTTGTGGTGACGTCGCAGCCAAACATTTTGAAAAATGTCGAGAAAGTTTCATTACAAAAGATGAATAATTCCTTTTTTCCAACAATTGAGGATTTCTCTTTAATTTAATCTATCCTAAATACAGTTTCGTCAGTTAACAGTTACGGGCCAAACCCAACCTGGGTACGAATCGCCTAAACTTGGGGACGGAACGTCCGTGGGCACGAAACTTCTGGGACCCTTTTCACCTAACATCCTTCATTTAAAGTTTATGAAAACTTAAAGCCGTAGTTTTTTCGGTAAAAATAGAATTTAAAATTCATGCTCGGCCAACGCTTTTCTACTTCTTTCTCATAAGGAATCATGAAAGAAATACTTAGTGCTAGTTATTATACGAGAGCGTCGGATTTCAACAATACTCTTTCTTGACGCCGAGTTATCTTGAATTTGTTCGAGGCAATTTGGAAAGCGTTCAATTGAGTTATGTGATTTGATTTGATTTTGTAAGCTTCTATTGGCAGAAACCCTTGCGTCCAATTACTTTCCTTGTTCGAGCACGGAGCCAGTACTGCGCCTGATCATTATTGGGGTTTTGATTCTTGAGCCGCGCTTTTTCTATTATCAATTTGATTGACGCACGGAGTCTTGCAATTCTTTTCTTATTTTGGTCGTCTAGTAATTTTCATCAACTGGTCATTTTGTTTTGTTTAGAGCCCCTGTTGCTTTGCTATATTTTTTTATTTCACCTGAATTATTCTTATGTATTATCTCATTCATCTTAACCGTTTTGCTCGGCGTTTGTTCTAAACTTTGGTTTGAACTCCAATGTATCGTGTTTTTACTTTAGCTTTCAATGTCTGCAGGCCGATTCTTTCGGCTTTTCTCGATTTCGTATTTCAACTGCTTAGATATCTCGTTTTCATGTCCACATACGGCCCAGTAAACCAAGACCGGACGAGCAACAACAACAACAACAACAAAAACAACTTTTTTTGTACCCTACATTAATATTACATGAAAAATGAGGAGAGTTTAGACTGCCCATAATAACCATTTAGGGCTAAAAAGATAGGACAGCCTTACTTAGGTCATTATTAATAAATTGTCATATTAAAGGGTCAGGTACCACACACGCGCAAACACACCACACAAAACACTTAAACGATAAAGA